CTGCTGACCCGCTCCCATCGCTTCCTCCAGAAAAGAATGAAAGGAATTCCCTAAGCCTGCGCCTCATGCCAACCAGACTTGCCTTCCCAGGAATGAGAACACGGCAGGAATGGCATTTGATGATTACCCAACACATGCACCTAACTCATCAACACCTTACCTGTACGAAAAATTCCACATCTGACTGTCAGAGCTGCGGTGCGATCCTCTAAGTCATGTTTAGCAACAACTGCGGCTTGCCCAGTTGTCAAGGCAGGCTACGGAGCAGCTGGCTCACAATCTCCCAGCCTCAGAAAAACGCCAAGCACTTCTGTTTCCCCTCCTTCTGCTTCCCCGCCCCCATCGGCCGGGAGTACAGAGCGCTCAGAATCAGGGGAAGGCAAAGGAGCAGATTACATAGAACAAAGGAACAATACTTTAGGAATTGCAAGGTGAATGCGTATGTTTTGCTATAAATAGTTGAAGTCGGGCTAATTCCCCTTACTTCACGCTGTATGGAAACAAAAGAAAACAAGTCACCCATCTAATCACACCAGCCTTTGTGCAGACCTCCCAAACAAACTGGAACAAAGGAAAAATCTAGCACAAAGTTTTAGATGCCGGAGGATTTTAGCGCACACAAAAATGAAGAGGATAGCAGCAAATTCTATGAACCAGAGGTAACAAAAGCAAGACACTTACAGATGCGGATTGAACATTCGACTCATTTTAGAAACGTGGTCATTTTCACAGTCTAGCTCATCATCCCCTTGGTCCACGCTGAGCTTCCTCTTGTTGGGACTGATGGGAGGAGGGCCTGTGCGATGGTTGGTGAGCGCAGAGGAGACTGGGAGAGACTGCATTCTGGGCTCGCCTCTTAGAGCTGCTTCACCTGCAGGAAGAAGACAAGCGAGAATGAACAGGACGGGGAAAAGAGAGGTAAAAGAGCGCGCTCTTTGAAAACGCTCTCGCAGAAAAATTTCCCAAACACACGTCAGGTCTGCATAGGCACATTTAACATGGTTGCAAGATACACGAGGCATCATAAACCATACTTTAGTGTTTTATGCTGGAACAAACAGTTGCAAAAAGATAATATGAGAGGGGTCAACTCACCCCAGAGGATCTGAAAGGGCTGAGCTAACGCATCTTTCCAGCAGTGTTTTTATTCAGAAGCATTCCTTCTTACGAGCTGCCATTCCAACCCTGAACTCTCATTACCTCATTCTGCAAAGCATGACTATCCGCAATGAAATAGGCTTTGTTCCTTTTCTTATGGTTGTGGTTATAAATTCCAGGGCTACAGTTCACATTTATGCCAAATATTCAAGATCTAAAACTGAATAAATGTTCAAATTCTCAAACGATTCCTTTTATAAAGGCTGTCCAAAACAAGCTTGTCTAGTATATAACTATGCAAGGTAAAAATTAGGGAAAAGATTGGAACTTGCTGATGCAAGGCTTAACTTTGTCCTTAGATGTCCTTCTCTATACTTTTAAACTATGTTCGGAGCAATGAACAAAATAGCACAATTCTCTAGCACCAGAATTGCAAAATTTCAATTTTAAGAATGCCAATTTTCAACTGGGCAGACTGGTGCTAAAGTACCAAGTAGATTATAAATTTTCTATAATCTGACACTTATCAGAAAATGCCATTCACAGCACAGTGGGTGCTGTGTATAAAATAATTCCAGAAGCGATACAATTAGCTCAGGCATAAACACATTCACATATTGTTACTAAGCACGCATTAAAGTGTAACCACAGTACTTTTCCCATTTCAATTAAACGTCTCACTAAATGTATAGCCTAAAGCACAGTGCTGCATTTCCCCAGCAGTTATGGACTTTACTGGAACTCGCATCCTTACAGCCACAGGTCATATTTAGACCTCGTAGGAATTTCAAGATGTTAAAAAATGCTTTTGGGGCTCCATAAGGGGCTTGGAGAGGAGCTAAATTAACCAGGGTTACCTATTCTGGTAATATCCCTGAAATAGCCACTTTTGCTATTTTTTTTGCTAGAGTTTAAAATTTGTATTTTTCCTACACTGCCAGAAGCGTTTTGTGTTTGTTTGTTTTTTTTTTTTTTTTTTTTTTTTACACGGCCATAATTTCCAGAACTAAAATTAGGATAAAGTTAACTCCATCTACAGCCCTGAGGTACCTGACAATGGAAATCTTTGTATGCCACCACACATTTTCACATCATCGCTGAGGCAGATGATTTATAAAATGTTGCCTTAATTCCACACACAACAAATACTATTTTGTTGGAAAAAGAACGAGTGAGGAGAAAACCTCCTGAATGTTTACCAGTAAAAATAAGCATTTTGCCAATTTAGTCAGCATAATATAAACTAGCAAATATACACTGACCTATAATACACCACAAGTCATGATTTCTATTAAAGACTCTGGCACCAAACCTAAATAGGAACTTTCCATCTCAGCTCTAAATAGTAAAAACTGTGCTCTTACTGCAAACGCTCTAAGACAGACACCCAAACCCTCTCCCATTCGAAACAACCAGAGTGTTAATTGGGAAGCCCTCCACAACCACTCTGGTGTCACAAGAGAAACTTTTATCAAAAAAGACCTCTCATGTGAAACAATCTTCATATCGGTAAAATTTCTACTGGCGTAATATAAAGGCTGAAGGAAAAAAAATGCAGAGGCCTCCACCTACGTAGTGCTCATGTTCTAAACTTTAGAAGTAGACCACATCATACCAGTTTCCCTTACTGAGGAATCTCCCTCACTTTGAAAAAAATACGTTAGTACCAACGTCAAAAGATAAAACTTTCATCAGCTAAGGTTTGTGATACTTTCACCCCACCCATACGCAATCGCTCTCCTCTCTGCAGTATCTCAGATCACTTCGGAAGACTCAAACACAAGATTCCATTACAGGAATTATAAATTCCGTGTAGGCATCTAACTCCTACTGACTCCTCCTCAACAACTCCTGACAGGAATACAGGCAATTTAAATATCCACGTAAAGCTAACTCTGATGTTTACAGAAGACAAAAATCTATAGACATTGTCCAATTTAGCAAGGTAGAAACTTTTCCTTTTCCCCAAACAGCAGCTGATACTATACAATTAGTATACAATTACTATACAATTACTATACAATACTATACAGCCTGATACTATACAATTATCTCAAAGGGTTTTTTTCTTTTAAAAAAAAAAAAAATCTTATTATATGTACAGTAATAAAAGCATTTATATATTATCATCCAGATTGAGTACAAAATCTGGTAAAAAAGCTAATGCTATTGTATGTTGGAATTAAAGAAACCCATTTAGAGAAATTCAGCAAAGAAAGGAATGGCTTCTAATTAAAGCCTGTCGAATTCAGTAATGCATTTTCCTAATAGTAAAGTAACGTGGTAATTCCGCAGGGGACACCAAGGCCTTCAGACAAACATACCAGAACTGTCCAGTGGATCTGCAACACCACAGGGCCATTTGGCCAAAATTAATCAAACTAACAAAGCTTCAAAGAGGCGTCAGCGGTGAGCAGGCAGGAGCAGAAAGAGCTCGTACACCCTCTGTCTCTTACAGGACAGGTGGGAAGGCACTGAGCACCTCCTCATGAGAAGCTACAGGCGCTCAGCATCTTCTACAGCTCGCCCCGCAGACAGGAGGCAAGCAGAGAATAGCAGCAAACAAAAGAGTCCAGATGACAGGGTAAGATCAAGAGGAAAAATATCTCTATGTCGTTCACGGGGATACACCGTGTATTCATATACTGTATTTGTACTGCACCAGTTCTCATGCGGTCTGTAAGTCTGATTAGGGGTAAAACTGCTTTTTATTGAAATAAAAAGGTGACTTCTTCCCCCCCCACTACTTTCCTCCTTACCAAACTGGAATTTAAAGCAGAGAGGGAGAAACCACAGCAGAGTCTACCACACAAAATGCTGTTTTACTGACTAGATTTGTCTCCCCCAACTGCCCACGCTCCATGGTAACCAGACTCGCATCACACAGCTGGCAAGACAACACTCTGATAAAACAACTGCATTTCATAAAATTCCCCGAGTCCAAACTCCAGTCTTCAAAATTCATTACTGTGACGGCTTGTGTCTGCACTGCAACTGAAAGCAGAGATAGCAAACACATTTATTGTGCCTCTCATAATACTTCTCTTTGTTTCAGTAAGCAGCTGGCGCAAGGCACTCCAGATCTGCTGCTTTCAGATAGTTCTACTTACAACTATTCATACTAGTCTCTCCCCCCCCTCTTTTTTCTTTTTTTATTAAAACTGTTCGGCAACACGATAAAGCACAGACAAGCTAAACAGAGATAACGACGTGACGTAGTGTCTGCCTATATAGCAGTACTGCAGTAGTGCACTCAGTTGACAGAAGTCCATGCAGTCAGCAAGAATGTTCTTTATTTTAACCATTTATGAGCTGAAACTGAAAGTGATTCAAATTAACACACGCAAACTAAATGTTTTTGAAACCAGCATGGCTCTTTTCAGACATACACACCACCAGGATAGTTCTCTGTAAACAGCGGATCTTCACCACTGTTTGCGTTTCACTTGCAGTTCAGTCACCAGCATCTGCGTCCCTACTGCAATGCCCATGCAATGCAAACATCACAACAGCAAAAGTCATGTTTTTACAAGTGTGGATTTGATAGCAAGACACCAGAGAAGTCTTAAAATATGTCTGAGAGCTCCAGGAGTTACCAAAGACTGGAAAAAAAAATATACACTCTTTTGGCAGCTCACTTCCTTCCTCTGACCCAGCAACTCAGTACGGGCTGCACTGGGACGTGGCTACCATAAACTATTCCCCCTCCCGATTTCCTCTCTCCCGCTGGCTACTATTAATGCATAAAATCTGAGCATTAATTACAATCCAGAAGTGAAAGGCTTAGTCTTTCAAACTGAAGACTGACATGATACAGACCTTAAGACAGATTGAAATAAAACTCCTTGCAAGAAAATTCCAGCACTGCCCTTGCCCATTTTACATTTCCATTCTGCATCTGACAAATGGATTTGTCCACAAGAGTAAATTCCTGACACGTTTATTAACTTTGGGGAAGTGTGTGTGTGTGGAGAATATAAAAAAATTAAATATAAAAAAAATCGTTGGGTTGTGGTGTCTGTCACAGGGTCCTTACCCTTTAAGGTCTTGGATTGAATTACCATGACCTCAGGCCACTCAATTAATAAAATCATGAGCATGAGAGTTTAACAGACTTTAATTAACATGCATTACACCTTTAATTACCCTTTCCAATACTTCCACGCAGACAAACTCTCATTAGTAAGAGGAATTGCCTCATGTTCTTAGGGCCAGACGTTCCTGGCAATCGATAATAAAGCAGTTTTCTCTACGGATCGAAGACCAAAATTTAGCTCTCATGACATATGAAACATTTTTGCTGAAAAGCTAAGACATCCACAAAAGCTACATATATGTGAAAAGGATACTATGAAATGAAACTTGTTTTGTTTTCTGTTGCTATATTCTAACAATCATGAGATTAAATTGCAAATAGATTGGAACGAATTTATTGCGTGTTTTCTTACACTGTCTCAAAGACAGAAGTCAGTCTGTGCCAACATAAATTGGGACAAATGACATAAAAATTCCAATTCATGACAAAAATCACATGATTTGAGATATCGAATACCAAGCAGAGAAGCCACCACAAATTACTCAATTCAACAAGTCATCAAAACAAGTTATCAAAACAAAAGAATCACAACACACTATACCGCAGAATTAATCTGCAGATGTTGTCAGCTGCCTAGTTTGGGTATTACTTCACAGCACACTGTACATTGTAAGAGGATTGATATCCTTGAAATTGTGAAATTCCCCAGAAATTAAATCTGTGTGAAGTAGTTAGAC